CCAAGAGTTTGTGACCATAGTACTGTATATTCATAAAATTATTATGATTTGGACATTATCTATTGCCCTGTTTTATTTAAAAAGTTTCTTAGAATAGATTCTGTTTCCGTCTTCAAATAATAGCTCTCTCAGCTGGCCCAATGGATAAAGGTAGTCCCTGTCTCCGGAGATCAATTGAGCCCAAATGAGTAGGACTTTACCTGAGAACGGAGACAGAATCCAGTCTCCAAAACATTGTCTTAAATAAAAAATAGGACGACGAATAATGTTAAGAAACAAAATAACTTTACGAACCAACTTATTAAGCAACTAAGACACAAATCCCTAAAATAAGTAGCTAATAAACCAAATAAATTGGAAAATAATTGACACGTGGCTCACAAATAAAGTAACTAGGGACTAGACAGGAAAATAAGTTAATCAATAAACCGATAAACAAACGAAACAAGGAAATGAGATAATCAGTTGCGTAGCTAAGAAACTAAGTAGAAAACTTAGCTAACTCTGTAACTGTCTACGTAGTTGACCCACTAACCCGCATGCATATTGTCACGTGTATTAGCAACTAAGACGTGGGGTTTGTATCGGTGAGTTGATTTATTTTATATTAACTTGTTGTAACTACAAATACAGTAAAACTTGGTTATAGCAACATCGGTTTCTGCGACACCTTGTCTATTGCGTCACATATTCAATGGTACGAACTAATTCCTCATAAAGCAACTGTTTTTATACCTTGCTTAGTACGACATGCACAAATGCATCAGCCTCGTATGTAACGTCATTTTCATTCCTGAATTTCTCTGATATGGGCATTGAACGTAATTTAGAAAGTGTGTATTGGGCAAGTAACAGGAAACAGATGAAGATAACTGATTACTGTACTCGTATCTAGGTACAGTAAGGCACAACAATTGATGTAATCTACTGTAATTTGGTGAGTAGGCCTACCTTTAATATACAGTATTAGTGCGGTGTGTATTGTCAGTGAAAAGCGCTGTAATATGTCTTTGATATTACACATTTGGGCAATTCCACGTTAATGTTACGTTAGTCTGTACTTAACTACGTATTTCACTAAAAAATGCAACATTTTAACTCGGTTTTTGGTAGATTTTTACGTGACTAACATAAGGCTACTGTGGAAATGCCCATTTCGGTTACAACGACATTCGTTTATAACGACACTATTTTTAGGTCCCTTTGATGACGTTATAACCAAGTTCTACTGAAATTATAATACTTTCAAAATTATTTTAAATATAACAAATAGGTAAAGTCTTTTATATCTGCTTTAACTAGTCGTTGGTATATAACAGATCTAAGCAATGGCTACTCCTCTGCAAAGTTTTCCCTACCCGTTTCTTAACAACGGATTTTAACACAGGAATTATAACTGCCACACTCTAGCGCATATAAAGTCTTCAAAACACACATTAAGTCTTCACAGACTGACTGTAATTCTTCTTCAACTACGAACTTCCCATGGCTGTCTCGTACCGAGAACTGAATCGTAGCGCGGATTGGTCTTCAAGATAACTCCTCTACACGGACCCCACGGAAAGCACCCTCTTCTTATGTTAAGAATGCTTTTATACAGCTTCGTTGCTTGCCAACAGACGTCCCATTTTTCAGTGCGTGTGCTTGGCGCGTTTCCTCTATATTGATATCACGTTATTAAAGGGAGTATTTACCGGTCGCCGCATAGAAACGGCAGTTCTTCTCTTGTTGCTTGTATTCGTTGCCGTGAGAATGTTTACTGACATTACTGTATTATTATGTAATCTAGCAACGGACTGCTTACCAAGAATCTGTCTTTGCGGTAATTTATTTACCAACCCGTTGCCTGGCAATGCGTTGACATGTCACGATATTATCTGCCCAGATGTGTTAGACTTAAGGCTCTCATAAACGCTGTGAAATGTTATGGGTTTTAATGCGATATATCACTAGAGAACGTTCCTGCATTGGGAGGATCATAGTGTCACTTTTCCTAGGTACAACGGGTATGGTCTGGTAGTAGCAGTAGTAGTAGTAGTAGTAGTAGTAGTAGTGGTTTTGCGTAGGAAACGGAGAGGAATGTATTCCGGACTGAATAGAGAACAGGAAAGATGTTCCGTGTTCAGAGCCACTAGTACTAATTAAATAACTATGTAAGTAATTAACTCAATATCTCACGGCCTTCTCTGAGCAGCGGGAGTTACATATTCTTCAGGTTAAACATAAGAGCCTGCTTTTAAAATATCGTGTTCGCAGAAGCCAATCGTTGGGCTCTATTCTCAGCCAGTTTAATCCAGCTGATATCTATATTCTCTTACTTTTAACCTCCTTTCTAGTAATGTATTCTCATATGATGGCCTTGGTATTTAAGCCGCCACGTTTCCTGGGTGTTAATAAAGTGATTATGATGTATAATGTAACTTTTAAGAGAGACTGTGTTTTGAAAACGAGATCTTTAACTCAGGCAGCGAGGCAGAATAGTAAATTACTTATTTTAAACTGCTGCAGATCTCTGAACGCTCTGCAAAATACAAGTGTAAGCAGCATAATGTAATGTTCGAGTGTTGCATTCCTATAGTGATGATGAAGCTGGAGGTTATGTCACATGACCAACACGAATACTGTTAGGATAAGCTCACTTTAATATGGAATAATAAATTCATAGATGACAAAAGACTTATCGTAATGAAGATTTACCAACAGAGAGAGAATAACTATGATAAATTTACAGTCAGATTTATATTTAAATTTCTTCTTATAGTTTACAATTTAAGATGTACCATATGTTAAGATTTAGACAATGAATTGTTACACGTAAGTCTGAGATCAATCCCAGGGGCGTATATGTGGGGATAAATTTCTCCGAGTTATTACATGTTTCTTTGGCATTCATGACAACACTGGTGCTCCCTATTTACCTGCCAGCGACTTTGACATATATGACACGCGTGATCTGCTACCATTTCAACATAAACTACGATTTAAACTGTAACCTTGCCTCCGGCGCGTGGAGTAGCTGGACACGGAGTAAGAAGTTTGATTCCTTACGTAACCCCTTTCAAAGCTGCAACAGTTAACTAGTTGGCGGTTCGGAGTAGGTGGTACATTGCAAATGATACCTGGCACTAAAAGTGTGACATTAAAACATTACTGCCGTTGTATTCAGTACGTCATGTTGCTTTATAACTTTCGCCCACAGAAAGTGGGATTTCAATTTCCAAACAAAAGTGTGTCCAACTTTGTACACGTCTCATTTAAAATCTGAAAGTTTGTGACGATGGTATATTGCTACAAGTACTATGTTCTTCGATATTATCTATCCTCTTGTAAGATTTGAGGCTTTCACGGCGGTGACTATGAAGAAAGCAGTCTT